AAGATATTGATAATGTTCACCTACGTTTGATGATGCGATTGGCAGGTCATCAATATAGAAGTGAAAAGAATCTAAGTCTCGTACTATGCTGTCGATAAACCTTTGAAAAGTTTGAGCAGCATACCGTAATCTAAATGGCATTCATAAGAACTCAAACAGACCAAAAAGAGTCGTGATAGCGGTTTTCTCGATATCTTCAAGAGAGACTGGGTCTGATGATGTGTTAGTACCAGATCGACCTTAGAAAAGATATTCGTGCCCTTGAGCGACGCCGTGATGTCGTGTATGTGGGGGTGGGATAGCTATCAAAGCCTGCTACTACGTTTAGTGCTCGGTAGTCGCAGCATGGTCTCCAACTAACCCCATCCTTTCTGCGCACCATGCGAAGAGGTGAGTCCCGTGAACTGTGAGAAGGACGAATAATACCAGTAGTTAGCAAATTATCAAACTCATGTTTCGCGAAAGCTATCTTGTCCGGTGCCAGTCGGCGTGGTCTTGCCGTGACTGGAGGTCCGCGGGTGACTATGTGGTGCACCACACGATTAGTCACCGATGGAATCTCCTCGAATGATTCGGTTAATTTAGGGAATTTCTTGAATAAAGTGTTGAATACGTCGTCATGCGAATAAAAGACGACTAAGATTCGGTACACGTTTGTTTGAGCTTTGAATTTGCTGTTCAACGAGGCATCAATTAGCTGCAGCCTACATGAATCGACTAGCAATTCGTAGTGCTGTAGGAAATCAATACCGAGTACGGCTGTGGGAACATCGGCAATGATGAACGTCCACAGATACCGTCGTCGGTTGCCCAGGTTGACCGTGAGTTGTCGTGTACCATAGATAAGAATGGCTGAACCATCCGCAGCTCGTAGTCGAAGCGTCGTAGGTTGTGACTTACTGTTACCGAGAGGTACGACAGAAACCTGGGCATCAGTATCTACCAGGTACCTTGCGTTCGTGCGATAATCGTGAACATAAGATAAACGACCAACCTGGGGTGAAGAACCGGTGCGTACAGCCACATTTACTCGCCGGCCCATGGAGTATCAAGCCTTGTACGAGCACGGGGCTTGATAACGTCGGGGGCCGGACCTGAAAGAGCGGTGAAACCAGCACCAACCCCCACTCGTTTCCGAAGCCGCCTTTTCGCGTGGCTTGGAAGATGCCCTCGTTGGCGAGTGGTCGCGGCTTTTCGAGTGTGTAATCTGGCCCGAGAGACGCAGGGCAACCATGTAGTTGACTCGGTTTCCAGTCCTTGCCAATATTTTGTCTGCTATGAGGGCCACCTGTTTGAGTGGTGCGTCCTCGAGCAGGGTCGTAATCGTTGGTTGGATGTGTGCTGGTAACGATTCGAGCCACAATTTCCTTGACAATTTCGGAATCGGCTGCCGTAAGACCTGCAAGAGATTGCAGGCGCTTGAGATGCTGGCTCGGCTTAACATCGCCTAGAGTGTGACGTACTAATAATGTCTTCAAAAGTTCCTTCCTTGATGGGAGGAAATGTCTGAGGATTGCCTCTTTACGACGATCATAAACGTTAGGCACATTGGGGTAGAGGACGTCCTCACGGACAGCGACTATGTAATCCTCTGGTAAAGGTTCCAGAGCGTAGGCATATTTTTGCCGTTGGCGCGACATGCGACGGGTCTCGAACTGACACTCCAATGCAGAGAACCAAACTTCCGGTTCATGGGAGATAAAAGATACAGGTCGAAAATGGATAAACTGTACATCAAAGTCCATCATATTATCACTATTCTTATCGTTATCCGTCATTTCAAGTTGTTGACAGAATATTAGATATTGAAAAATATCAATATGAAAATGTGTAACAGACGTGGGTAGAAAAGTAAAAGACACACCGCAATTGGCTTCCTTGAAAGATTTGGCCTCCATTGAAAGGTGTTAGTATTTTCGGGTTCTCCAGTTGTAGCGTGTCGTCAAGTCGCGATTGACTATGATCACCACCACAAGAATGTTGCCTATCAGATATCAGAAGGCGATTGGAAGTTGTAGCGTGATATATTTGTTAGTGATCCCGAGGCATCAAAAGAATACTGAGATCGTGCCAAAAGAGTACAAGTGGAATCACTGTGGAAACTTTAGTGCATACATGTCACAATCAACGGAAGAAAGAATTTCTTTAGTACTGTTAAACAAACAATTACAGGAAAGCAATCACTGGTACATTTGGTTATGATAATAATTGTTTCAACTAAACCAATCCCGTTCTCTTGATAAAAGTAGGTCACTACAAGATCTGGACGTCTCACTGGTAAAGTTTGCACTAACAAACAGTCTGAAGTATTTACAAGTCTATCTTGTAATCAATGTCGAAAAATGTAGTCAATGTGTTGAATTTGTTTGGCACTCCTGTGCTGGACCGTATAGTCATATGCACTCAAAGCAATACTCCATCGTTGAACCATAGCAGCTGAAGAATGTGCTAAGGATTTTTCACAATGATAAATAAACTTTAAAACTTCATGAACCGTAACAATAGTGAATTTCTTTCCGAACAAATATTTATGAAGTCTTTTAACAGCCCAAAACACAGCTAATGCTTCTCGCTGAGTCTGTAAGTACCCTTGTTCAGTAACAGTAGGTTTGCGTGAAACTGGTCTAACTTCCTGCTGCAAAACTGCGCCAATACCTACAGGTGATGCATCTGTAATAGGCACAGAATGTACACTAGGGGAGTGAGTTCGAAGAACAGCATCACTTTGAAGAAACCTGAGTGAACTTCGTAAGCATGACTCTTTTTTCTCACCCCAATTGAATGAATTGGATATCAAAATATTAAATAAAGAATTTGCACGACAAGAAAAATTAGGGATAAAACGGGAATACTATTGAAAAGCACCCAATGGTGAACGTAGCTCCGTAAGATTTTCTGGGGGCAGTGCATTTGTCAGTGGAGCTTGTCGTTTTACATCCGGTCTAAAACCATTACCATCAACTACTTATCCAAGGCATTCGAAACTAGATACACAAAATGAACAGTTATTTGGATTCACTGTAATATTCTTCTCAATTAAACGACGCAATAAAGCAATAAGTCTCCGGTAATCAACTGCCTTATCAGAACCATGAGCAATGAGATCATCTTGATACACTTCAACACCTTCAAGATCACTAACTACTTTATTCATAATTTCCTGAAATATGGCTGGAGAACAACTTAGACCAAATGGAAGGAAATTGTATTTGAACAGACCAAAAGGAGTATTAAGTGTCGTCAAAATAAATGAAGATTGATCTAAAAGGATTTGGAGATTAGCATCTTTTAGCTCAACTTTCGAGAACACTTTAGAACCATGGAGTCGATTTATAATATTTTCAGCCTTTACCGTCGTGCACGTTTGCTTCAACAAACAGGAGTTCAATGTTAAACTATAGTCACCACATATTCTAGGGGTCTTGCCGTCCGACTTCAGTGGCGTGACAATAGGAGTACTCCATGCTGAAGACTGAATCGGTTTAATTATTCCTTTCTCTCACAAATCGTTAATTGTCTTATATAATACTTCTCGAAGACCATAAGGAATTATTCGTCTTTTAGGAAAGACTGGATCACCCTGTACTTGAAGTTTTATAGGCTTAATTTTCATACCTCCACTGGATTCAGCATACGTAGCTATCAAATCTTTAAGTAAAGCATCAGAATTTTCTTCAGAAACCAGGAAAGACAACACTTCAAGCTTTTTGAAATTCCTTAAACCCAGTATTGACAGTCCTGTTTCGCTAACTAAAAATTCACAAGGTTTGTATGAAGAATTATCGTCTCTTATTAGCGATTCACAACATCCTCGTATGGGCAGTCTGCGTTGAGTGATCCCCAATATTGATACTTCAGTGGGTCGTACCACAACGTTAGGATCTAAAGATTTCAAGTTCTTGAATGAAATAATGGTTTCTGTACTGCCTGTGTTCACAATGAAATCATGAAATGAACCAAGCGATGTAAATAATCGCTTTTGAATATGAGCATGACCTTTCGAAACGGTAGAAAAAGATAAATGATCATTGGGAACAGCTGAATTATTATTGGGATCTAAATTACAAGATCTAGTACTACTTGAAACAAAATGAACAGTAGCTTTGCATACTGACTGAATGTGTCCTATCTTACCACATTCAAAACATTTAGCGTTACGAAACGCACATGAATTACGTGGATGAAATTGTATTTCATCACGACGACGAAGCAAAGAATTAGAAATTTTCACCGACTGGATATCAAATTCATTCACGGCCTCTTAGTTAATACATGCAGCCCTAGTATCTTGAAAGGAATAGTTTGGCATTCTTAACAGCTCTCTTTCCAAACCCGGTATGCTAATTCCTGCAGTTAACCGATCTTTCAGTTGCACATGAAGTTGATCACCGAAATTACATTTGGAAGCTTGTTTCTGCAATTCAAGGATGAATTCCCTAACCTTTTGTTCATTTCGAAGAATCATCATATGAAATTTCGCCTTATCACGGCATTCAAAAGTAGTGGACTTTACATGATATAATAATAGCACCTTAAGAAATGCATAAGGAAGTGAGAAAGGCTTTTCTGGATACGCCAAAGTTTTTATTAAGTTGTATGCTTTTTTTCCACCTTCTTTTCACTTTTACCATGTTTCTTGATCGTTCTCCAGATTTCAAACCAAATAATCCTCAAAAGCGTCAGAAGTTGAATGAATATCTAACTGTTCCATCGCAGGCTCCATCGCGACGCCAATAAGATAATCAGGAGTATTTGAATTATAGTACTAATGAAGAATCCCAGAAATAACGCAATTGGATCAGGGAGTACTAGATAAGCACAAACGAATGTACTATATTTGGAATTCCAAATTAAGCATTCAACAAATACAAAGGAATCGTTATTTCATTCAAACACCACAGATAAACACATACATTTAAGACTACATAGCATATCGATTTACGTATTGAACTGAAAATTTGAATTTTTTATAGTATGAACCATTTTTGCATTACCAATTAGGATTGTCTAAAGTTTTATTCCAATCAGAAAGCGTTTCATAGATGTTTTCCTTAGTGAACAGATTCTATTAATCTAACTGCGAAATCTTATTGAGGCGTTTTAGATCCGTTTATACCAATTGTTGTATACCAGATAACAAAAGAATGAATAAAATGTTTCTATTATTCTATCTTGCTCTGAATAATATGTCTTATGGTTCCTGATTTATAAGGAAATGTCAGTCAACTTCACATGATTAACTTTCTGGTACTAATACTTTATACGGTTAACTAACAATAATGGACGTTTATAAATTTTACATCCTACTTATAGTATTATTTCTCAGTATTCCGACAAAAAGTTTTGCAAATAAACCGGAACGTACACAATACGATTTTTTGTCATTATGGAAATTAAAAAATAATGCCTTCGTAAATATAGATTATGGTCTACCTGTTAACATAATTGGTGGTTTATTACCAACTGTGAAATTGCAGTTTATTCGCTGTAAACCAGAGAAAGCAGGATATTGGACTATGACAGATTGTCAAGCATTATATATACCACCTGGCTGTCATTTTACTTATGAACAAATAAACGTATTACAAAATACATCACAGAGCATCAATTGTAATCAACATGTTAAAAGTAAATTAATACCTAACAGATGGACTAAAGAAGCGGATAAAAAGTCAACACAAGTTGTGAAAATTCAAGTGAATAGTGACATAACAAACATAAAACTTAAAGCATTTTTTTTGCACTGTGGAAAGAATTTAGCATACTTCGATAACAACTCATTAATACCATTATGCGACTGGGATCATTACACTGAATTAGTTTCAAATGGTAATTCACTCGACGTTTATGGATACATTAATACTAGTTCAGTTCTATCTGGTAAGATGATGATATGATAATGTGTAGTGGTTTTGTTTAGTAGATCAATCATATTTATAATCGTTATTATATAAATCTGAACAGTGTTTGAAATCAGGAGACAATAAGAAGCTGGAACAAAAGTTTATTAGCGAATAGCATTAACAAAAAAGTCATAAGCACATCTAGCGAATTTCAAGCAGAGAGGTAAATATGTGTGTGCGAGCAAATACATAGACGTGAAATGACTGAATTCATCTCAGTCTGTACGGACATTATCATCATATTTTTGCCTAAACTTATGTAGCTAATTTTTTTGTGGATCCAAAATTTTCTTTTCATTATATTTAGGGACCCACATTATTGCATCGCTTGATTATAGAAAGCAGTCGATTATCAAATACGCTTATTAACTAATGTTCCTATTATCTATCAAGCCAATAGCCTCTGTGGTTAATGGCACAGTGACCGTCTCTGGAAAAGTAAATCAATGATCGTGGCTAAGAATAGGAGGATCTGAATGCTGGTTGACCTACATACTCAATCTTACCCAGTATTGTTAGATAGTTACACAACTTACTTTCTACATAGTTTTAGTTTATTTTTTGATTCCTTTATCAGCCTCGCTCAGCTTATTTCACGTAACTGTAAATCTATGTAAGATAGAAGTCGTTACCAACCACCAACTATTCCTTCAATTTCTTTATGATGAATTGTATTTAGTCTTTTTCATAACTTCAGCGTATACCTCGAGATGTATAACTAAATGGGGACACTAATTATACTGCGTAGTAGTCGATGAATAATAGGATTTTGAAAATGTATATGACTTTGGCTAGAAATGGTTACATATTCCACTCAATTATCACTCAGCATCGTAAATAGATTTAAACCTTGAATACAAAGTTTATACAAGAAATATTCAGTATGGTGAATTTATGTTATAAACAAAGGTCATATGGGTACACGATACAAACTTCAACATTCATTCACAACAATCATTATCCAAAGTCGTCATAGATAAATCTGTGACAAAGAATAACTATATTTCAAATTTTTAAACAAAAAAATGTTATATCTGCTAGATCATTCATCTGAATATTATAAACTGAATACATAATAGCTGTTTGCTAATACATGTTGAGTAAACCTAATTTAAATATTGACTGAAACATATAGCTTTCACTCACTCACTTCATTATCTCTTTTTCGTTTGATATTTTAATATCGTTCTAATCAATTGAAAGAAATCTCTGTTCCAGTCTTTTGGGTAACTAATTTTAATATAAAAGAACTAAGAATTTACATAATTTCCAACTTGGTCTTAACCCAGATTCTGAAACATGTGTAACTTCAGAGGTAACACACTGTACCAGGACAGTAATCGAGTTTGAGACTAGTTAATATACACAGTTATAGACTTTTCTATTTCATTACAGGCGACCTTTAAAATCTGAAGAATTGTAGGATGGATATTAAAAGTCGTATGATAAAGCTTTAGTTGGTCTATTGTCACATTAAAGACAAAAATTATAAAATTTACTGAAGATAGTGGGTGAGTAAAAGATGCTTTGAGAAGTTTCCAGAATTGTTGTAAATATTTTAGTGAAAAGTAGTGACGTTACTTAGACTTACACATTTCTGTAGTTTCAAAATTTCAAGTTATCGAAGACTCCAAACACGACAAAAGAAGAAGTAGAATTCCAAAGCTTGATTTGCTGAGCGTATTGTTAACATGATCATTTATTACATATATCAGTCATATAAAATGTGACATCCATCCGAATGAAAAACTTTTCTGACTTCCACTACTCAATCCTGAATACAAACTAACCCATCTTTAATTTCTTACTTTGATTAGTTGCGAATGGCCTAAGTAATTTTCCTGCAAACACTAATAACTCAAATGTTTGTGAATAATTGGTTTTATTTAGTTTTTGTGTAAACATTGAGATATGTCAGTCATCCATTTACCACTATTATCATAGTGCACGTAACAAACGGTTCAGTCAATTCTAATGTTTATCATTCTAAATTTGAATCATGATCGTCTGTAATTATTTCATTAAACTAAACAACTCCTCTGTACGACCTTTAAAAAGGAAAGAATCATCCTGACCAACTGAAAACATCTCACCCGTGATTTTTATCTGCTACCTATGTATAATTTCGTAAACATACTTTTTAGTCAAAGTCGTTCACTGAAATTACATGTCTTACTATAGATAAATAAGTTGTTCATTGAAATCTGAGATTTTATCCCACTGTCAATGCCATAAGTGTGAACCTTAATTGACGTTGTGTAAAATTTCTTGGAAAGGTCGATATTTAGCTCATCATCCCTTTGTTTATTCTAATATTTATAAATCACAGTTGTTAGGAAACGGGTACTAGGTAAGGATGGCAAATCAATTGATGAAGTAGTGAAACTTCATCAGTTGAGATGGTTGGGACACGTGTTACGTATGCCCAACGACCGACTACCTCGACGTGCTATGTTCAGTGGTATAGGAGTAGGTTGGAAGAAAGCTAGGGGTGGCCAAACCAAAACATGGCACAAGTCCATGAAGTCACTGACAAGTGGACTGAGTCATGTTGGTAGGTGTAGACTACCTGGTTGGGGACCACGAGATGATAGCAACCGATGGTTAGAGGCCCTGAATGACATGGCTCAAAATCGTTTGCAATGGCGCAGGTGCATCCACTCTCTGTGTTCTCCCAAATTCTAATCTTCTGAATCCTTCATGTCCCTTTTTTCCTCTTTCCAAATTTATTTCACTGCATTATACTTTTTAAATAACATCTCCAAACCCCAATCTTCCCGATTACTGCTTATACTCTTATTACCTCTACCACTACGGGATTTGAATCGACAACTGCATCTCTGTGCTAATGTGGTGTGGCAACTCGAACTGATGTACGTACGTACGAAGTTCTACGTTGTTACTGACTGACTGACTGACTTAAAAAATAAAATGCCGAAACATTATATTAGCCATCAAGTAGTAGATTATTGTTCACACGAACCTTTATTAATGAACGATTCATTGACAACATAATTGATGAGTTATCAGTAAGGTTATTGAATTAACAACTTCTATGAATCCAGTGTAAATCTTGTTTTGCTAATGAGGTATGGCAACTTGGATAGATGTATATATGCGCCTGGTCCTAAGTTGTCCTGACTGATTGACGAACTGAAGGCTGAAAACACAGAATAGAAATCTGATCACCAGTTAATTTTTAACTATTTTGAAAAGTAGTTTTTGATAGAAATAACCACAGTTCTTGTTGTAAATAGTCAAATTTCCTCACATTTCTTCACTCTAGTTCTATGACCCTACCTTATAAGTTGCTGACCGAATAGCTTAGTGGTAACATCTCTGTGTAACTGAGTGACTCAGGTTCTAATCCATCAGTAACCATTAATTTTCTCATGACTGCAGGTAAGTACAGGATCTCCTACCGACTATCTCAAACCATCTAGTAACGAAACATTGAGTGTGTATCATAAAGTCATTCACATAGAGACGGTATATTGAAGCTTGATTAACTGGATCCAATTAAAACTAAAGAGCTAGATGAACATGACACCGATCACCTGTTAATGATCAATCAATTCAGATTTTAGTTCCAAGTCGACTGTTAACAACAACTCCCCTTTTTATCTGAGGGAAGTTTTCAGCTTTTGTTTTTGTAAAGGGAACTTGTTGAAATACTTTATACTGAGAGCTCCATATTGTACTAAACTTGTAATGCTAAATAAAGCCATTAATAGTAATGATAATAATATAATAGTCCTCGGAAAGGGAAGACTCCAAAAAAATGTTTGACGCAATCAATTTTCTATTTTTGTTTCTTTATCTCCGACACAATGTTCATAGTAAATTCCTTATCTATTCACTTCAATAATTTATTTTGCAAAATACAGTTCCAATTAAATCTTTGGATTTGTAAAATGATTCATTTTGTCTTGAATAATCCATTACATATTCATATAATTACTCATACAGATATTAGATTAGGAATATTATTATCTGTTTTGTCTATATGAATATTAGGTTTACTGACTGGAAAATTAACCTACTGGTTTTACTATATGCATAGGATATTCTGATGATGAAGGGAAACCAATGAAAAACATATTTATAGCTGATAAACATTTTTTAAGGTGTTTGTAATCCTTGGAACTTTCTTTCCTTTATCCCTTTGCTTTAGTAATTTATATTTATTATTTTTGTACAATCACTTGGTCTGAAATGGAGAAAAAACCAGAAAATAAAATGAGACATATTTTATGTCCGAATTCATGTTCGTATGGTGCTGTAAAATGTTCTGGTAAACCACAAGTTAGAAAAACAGTTAGTGATATAAAGAAGTCAATAATGGATAGTACTACAGATTGTATTCCTATCGGATTAAGTGTATTCGATTATGAATACCAATGTCTATGTGAAAAGGTAAGTTGTTGAAATGTTATTTCATTAGTTCATATTTACTACTAATAAGATATTTAGTAGTTAGGTAATAGCTATCAGAATTAGTATTTGTTAAGTCTCTGGAAACGTGTAAATTAATAAACTAAGTAGAGCCACCATCTACCAACTGTAAAATCATTGATAAGTGGATAACGCATCGGCGTTTTAAGTGAACGGTACTTGGTTTGATTCCACGTACATCCAGTTGACGAATCCCAAATATAAAGAAACGCTGGTCCTGAATTCCATTGTTAGCCACCATCATCTCTGCTTACAGTTGAAAGCTCTGATAGTGAGACAATTCTTCTACAGAATCTAATCAACCGTTTATTAATGAATTACGGCTGGTAGATAAAACGGGATTCATTTGATGTACTAAGGTTGGCTGGTGACTAACAGCGGACTTCAAGACAGGTGTTTGGCCACAGCTGAAACTCGTCAGCGGAATGTAAGTGTGTCTAAACGTTGATGAGTTCGGATAGCCAGTGGCCTGTTAAATTAGCAACTACCTTAGGCTCGTAGTGGGCCTCAATCTAAATATATAGCACTAGCATGACCCTAGCACCTAGAAGAGTAGTTCAATCCAAATAGGAATATTTGGTATTTCTCAATCAATACATTAATTCAAGTATCATCGTTCATACATAACGGATAATAATGGTTGAAATCAATTTTATGAAACGCTGATGCTCCACAAGATGATCTACATTGATTATAATTTTATACTTACGAATGGCTCACTACGAGACGTTTTATGGGCTCAATGAAACCATGGAAAAGATAGTTACTTGCTGTTGGCGTTAGATATGGATGTTGCTTGGTAACTAAAGTTGTAACACTGACTTTCAGACTTTGATCAGTGACATATACGAAGCGTCCAGTACCTAGGGTTCAATCTCACACTGGGTCCCGATGATCACGATTTCATCCTGTCCGATATGTGAACAAGCTAACTATTTATCTGTTCCCGGCTATCTATGACCCACTGTGAAGTAGAAAACCTAAAACAGTTTTATATGATATATTTGTTCTCTACACCTAATATTAATATCTATATCAAGCTGGCATGAATTCTGTAATTATTATTTCTAGAATATATTATTATTACCAAAATCAAATTGTAATTGGATTAAGAAAAATGGTATTCTGCATAGTTGCTTAGAAATCAATCAATCTTCATTTTTATTCATACATCACTCTGATTCTTATTTTGAATATTTATTGAAACTTCTTGAATATTAAAATACACCGTTATAAAAACACGCAATTATACAGTTATGATTTTTCGCAACTTTTATTAAGAATACTACTACCTTTATTCGTTTTAAAAAAATTCTTTTTTTATATGGTCATTTCGTAATTAGCAATACGAAACATAATTTCAATTGATACATATGTCAATCTTAATTATTTATGTCTAAGATCAGTACTAATCTCTTTTGTTTTAATTTTCTTAAAAAGTTTCTATATTTAGCTAATACCCATTTTATGTAATTTCAAAGATGATCTAAAACTAGAAATCTTCCACTTCATCTTATTCATCATAAAGTTTATAATAAAAATGATATTGTTTAATTCTGTAAATTTATATTTAGTGAGTTATCAACTTTCATTTTAAATATTATCATCGACAAATCAACGTGTACACTACAAATATAATTAAAATTGACATAATACAAAGGACCCAGTAGCCACAGAGTGTAATACTGAATCAGTGCATTGATTTTTTTGTAAAATACATTTTTGGTTGATTAGAAAAGATGCGAAATATATCCATCAGTCTTATCCATAGGATTTATTAAATAATAATCTGTCAATCAATATATTGCTCGTTTTAACTGTGGATAAAACAAAAAAGTATAAAGAAACACTGAACATAGATTATAATTATATAAAAAAGAAACGGAAAGATTTAATTGTAAAAGAAAAATACGTATAGCCGTACAGCATATAAACTGTCTGACGTAATAGAATGAGTAGTCGGCGATTAACGGTAATCATACTCATCAGAAAGGACTATGAAAAACACTAGTATTTCTTTCACAAATAATCTACTAAAGTGGTGATTTCATTTTAAATTTTAAAGTTTATACTGCTTTGAAGATGGATAACTACTTTATCTTGGTTTTAAATATTCAACTTTAAGGAAGTCACCTGTCATTTAGTATTTATTTGAATAGTCAATTTGAATATATCAATTTAATTTAATTCCTTCTTCTACAAACAAAGGGTTATTCATGGAATTCTGATACACGGTCATGTGAACCAGAAGATCCTTGTACACTTGACCAGATATTAGCCGTAAAGGCTAATGAAATTCAAGAACATGGGTTATGTGATCCAAAAGGAACTATACGATGTATTTATAGACAATATTACAGAAACAAATATATATTTGGTTATCGAATAAGGCTTAGTTTACACTATTCATGTATATGTCATCCTCAGTTTATGGGATATCGTTGTGATCGTTTAAGAAATTCATGCATTGAAGTAAGTTAATCACGAATTTACTTGTGTGTCTTTTAGCATTCATTTTTTATATTATATTTTACAAAGAGAGTATTAAATACAGCCGACCAGCGTCCTACATGTATTATGAATCTCTTACACAATAGTTAATTAGAGCAAGATAAATATTCATGAAATATAATTAAAAACCATGGCAAAATATTGATCGATCAGTGGTATGCATAACTATATCAAAATTGTTGATATTGTAAATAAACTTCGAACAATCAGTGTATCGCGATGTAGTTTCTGATTTACTATTGATGAAAATATAGATTTTTAACCGGCATGTTCCCTTCTCTCATGCATCGCGTCACATAAATTCAACAGATTTTTTCCCAAAGTAGAATAATTGTATTACTGTACGTAGTATTGTAGTGCACTCTGATTATGCTGACATATATAAATAGTATGTAGCGGAAATTGGAATTAGAATGGCTCCCAGTATCAAATCGGATTGAAGAGAATAGGAAGGGAAACAGGGCAACTGGAATAACAAAAGAATTGGAAGAATTATGAAGTATATGAAGGAAAACTGAAGGATGATATGTTAATAATGTATTTAATGTGCAATATTCATATTTTAAAAAGTCACTGTGTAATCTTGTATAAAACACCATGTCGTCATTCACTACACTATGGAATTAGGGAAATGAAACTTTCATGTTTATCATTATTATCGGATAACTAGAACACATAGATCTGTTATGCTGTTATCAATAACTGATTATTTTTAGTAAAAATAGGAAGAAAATATGTACTTTTCAAAGTACCTTGTTCCTTCTAACATAAAAGATTAATTAAACAAAATCTTTTACCTAAAAACAAACACAATAGTGTATTGTATACTGTAAATGGAATTGAAGTAAATGATGAACTCTTTTACGGGAAATTTTTGTTTCTACTAATTATTGAGACCATTTTAACTTTACTAAATATCGTCTATAACAATTTTGTTGTTTCGTAAAAATATGTTAAAGATCATTTATCATCTTTCATCTTTATTAATTAAACATTCCAGGTCAATACCAAAAAAAACGAATACGCATCAGGTAATTAACATCCAGTTCATCAGTTCTAGTAATGTCATACATGATAGATGATAAAAATATACAAAAATAAACAAAAGAATCGGAATTTTATCAACTTTGTTAAATTTCCTTGTGAAAAGAAAAAAACGTCGCTTGTAAAACGGAATGGATGAAACAAAAAATTTACTATAATTATGTCTTGCATTTAGTCGGATAATAAAACTTAAATTACAATGCACTGAACAAAGTATATTATTTTCAATAAACTTTCATCAGGTTCTACAGTAATTCATCAAAATTAATGATTCCAAAGAATAGGGAAATTTAAGACGAATACACTGTTTATAATGATATCATGAGATTATGAGCGAATTGAAGCTAGACCACAATGGAAAACCTGAAAGCACTGGACGGCCGTTTCGTCCTACTGTTGAACTCATCAGTAGTGTGCTATTATTATAAATAATGTTAAAATGATAAAAATGTAATATTAATTTGAACGGGTTTATACTTTAAACGATAGTGTGATTAAAAATCATAACAAATATAGTTGATAATGGAAGATGGTCGCGCATTTTTGTAAATTGATTAGACTCGAAATTCAACAGCACTGTATTTTAGCTTAGCAGTCTAGAATTTAGGCAATCGTGCGCAAGACTGAAGAACGTCGGTTTGATTACGTTTGACAGGGTCGTATTCATGCAGTTCTGAAGAGTTTAACAAGTGATTTTGGCCAGATGTTGACCCACATTGAGTGGCAGTGACTGATGGGCTGCAGGTATTTCAGAAGCCGATAACATTTGAATCATGAAGTGTTTTCAGTCATCAAGTACACTATGAGTATCTAAAGGTGTGTACTGCTAAGTGTTAGATTAACACATGATATATTCATTAGTTTCCTGTTCAGTTGAACGCTAGTTTTTAATTATAACTAACCTGCTAACAAATTTGATCATAATTTATTTTCATATTAGTGTTTATTTGTTGTCCATAAGATAATCTACCTATGGACTATATATATATATTCATTTACAAATTCTGTGTTTACATGTTTATGACTAAAACTATATAACCCTTTTGGTGCTTAAAAATAAAATGCGAAAATTAATTCATTTAAGTCTAGAGCAATTCGAGATTTAGTTAAACATTATTTTCATCATTTTTAGATAGTTGAAGGCACTTGTTAGGAAGATTTATACCGAGACTATGTTTTGTGGAGAGTTTTAGAAATTTCACAGGTTGAAATCATGAGTCGATTGAAGCTAGACCACCATGGAAAACCCAGAAGCACTGGACAGCCGTTTTGTCCTAGTGTGGGACTCCTCAGCAGTGCGCATCCACGATCCAGCACCCCGCGGGACTCGAACCCATGACCTACTGGCTTCGCGCGCGAGCACTTAACCACTAGACCACTGAGCCGGCATCCAGTGGTGTTAATGTCTAACTTCAACCAATCCACGAAGCTGCGCCACCGTACACCATTGTCTTCAGTGAGTTGTTATCTCCCAACAGACGTGGTTGAACTCCACTGGTAACGGCTTATAACTGGAACTCCAGGAGTTTTTTCCTGAAGTCAGTCACTAGTGAGCAGTTGATTATTATCAGAACCCCGCGTTGGTGAGGGATCGTGGATGCCCACTGCTGAGGAGTCCCATACTAGGACGAAACGGCCGTCCAGTGCTTCTAGGTTTTCCATGGTGGTCTAGCTTCAATCGACTCATGATTTCAACCTGTGACATACCAATATATTTAATTAATTCCAACTCTTTGCATACTGTGAAAGCTGAATCGCCATTCAATGACAAAAACTTGTCCATAATGAGAAAAGAATCAATAATTGGAGTTCTAAAGGGGATTCTTTAAAAATTGCTCAACGTAATAACTTTAGAATATAAAGATGACTTTACTGTGTTACATAAAAAACTTTGGAAGTTTAGAATGAGAAGAGGATGCATAAGTTCAACTCAGTAAACTCTGTTTACAATCATCCGATCAATAAAGATCAAAATTTCACCAAGGCATTTGAAAGTGTACTACTGACTCTCCTTGAACAAAAAGGTCAGGGTTAAGCTTTTTAACTGCTATGGCTTCAACAGGTTTTGAAAACTTAAAACGTCTCTGTTTATTCATAACTTTGAACGTATTCACTGAATCAATGTTGTACTGCGTATTTATTAGGTGGCACCCTTATAAACTACTCACAGAGCTTTATCTTTAATGGAGTAAGGTTGTGGAATTACGATCATTAAAACTAGTAGAAGCCTATCTTTTTCCCTTTTTCAATATACATGATTTTGCATGTACGCCTTAACTGATATATAAAACTGAAGTAGACAGATGACATACACTGGAATAATTTTGCTTGTATTACTGTACATAGTACTGAAGTGGAATAAACTTTGTAGAGAATACATCAATACCTAGAAATAATTAAGCATATAAATATGTGTGTAGCAACGAGATACAATGAGTTGGTCACATAATCCGTAATCATTTGTACATAGTAATCGTTAGCATTTTGATAAGAAAGATGTGATAATATGTTTACAAAAACAGCTGATGAAAGTATTTGCTAATTTGAAAAATAGATTGATGCTTTAGCGCAAAGTAATATAATATAGTAATTGTGTATTCATTTTCTAAGGATTAAAATAAGTTGTCTAATGTAAATGAATGGAACAGGAAAAAATGCAACAAACAAATATACCTTACTTTATCTATATTATATATTTGACTATTAAGAAAGACCAACAATTTTGGAAACCTGGAAGCACTGGACGGCCGTTTCATCCTATTGTGGGACCCTTCAGCAGTGCGCATCCACTATCACCATTGGATGCCGGCTCAGTGGTCCAGTTGGTTAAGCGTTCGCGCGTGAAACCGAAGGCCTTGGGTTGAAATCCCGCGAGCAGGATAGTGGATGGGCACTGCTGGGGAGTCCCACAATAGGATGACATGGCCGTCCAGTGCTTCCAGGTTTCCAAAACTGTTGGCCTAACATCATTCGGTTCATGATCTCAATCAAAAACGTAATAATCTCCACAACCCCCATACTAGTATTAAGAAAGAAACATCTTCGACAGTTTCCGTTTGATTTTATTTATAACGGTATTAGTTATATATTGGTTTTCCGATTCATGTGATTTTAATTTGGCTGGTATTCATAGTAAGTGAATCTTTTTTTCTTAGAGTTTTAAACCTACTTCAAATACGCTTCACTGTATTAAAGTACACTTTTGCCTTAAAAAAGCACCTTCAATTGTTTTGATTTAGAATAACTTACCTAATCGTGTACCAGGAAATGAAGCATGTCGTACATATTTAGGAAATAAATGTAATTCAATAAATGGTACCAACCAGTATACATGCACTTGTGTTGGGAATTATAAACATTCACAAAAATATTCTTTCTACAATTGTTATGAGCGAAGAAATATATGTGACAGCGTAAGTTGTTTTCTATTGGAGTATGGTAATATCTTAATTTATTGTGTAAATAGTACGCCTTATCTTTTATAAAAGCTCACTGTGATAACTCTAGCCTTAAATGAAACGAATTATTGAAATTCATTCAATAAAATGTTTTTTTCTAAACAGCAAACAAAAGTTAAATTATTCTCAGTGTAGAGGTGTGTAAATTCTTGGATTCCATTCAAATCATGAACCTATTAATGTTAGACCACCCCTAAAAACCTGATAGCACTGGACGGCCGTTTTGACATATTAGCAGACTCTCCAGCAGTGCTCATTCGCTATCCCTCATGAAGGACTCAAACCCAGCACCTGTGGTTTTGTCCGCGGACGCTCAACCTTTAGACCACTGAGTGACATTATGAAATCAAGAAGAAATTTTCCTATTTCAAGTAACAAAACAGAGTAATTAATGAACTGATTAATGGACGTTGGTTTTCGTCACACACAAGCATCACGTATCGGACGAGGTTTTCGATATTAGCCAATGGATTATGACTTTATGGTTTAAAATTAATGCATTTTTCACGATACCTGATGATCACGTATCTAAACACTAGAACGACTATTTGTATGTACTGAAGATTATTACCATAATTGCATAGCTGTTTAGTAAACATTATTTTTTAAGGAATACATATTTGATTTAAAATTATGACCCAAGTTGATATAATTCATTTATATTCAATTAATATTATTCAACATTGTAAAACATTATTTTATCTTATTTTTATTGTCGTAATATTTCTGCATATTATATTTTGTATCTCGTTTACTTGTACGTCCGTCTCACTGTGTGATTTTCATGTCAGACCAGTCACGTCTCCCTTGTAGCGTTATCTGTTAACGTTTAAAATGTTTTCAGAAATGAGGCAAAATACTTTCTATCATTATTATTTATAAAGCGTTAGTTAATTTATGAAGTGTATTTAATGCACTTAAAAATAAAAACCTAGTGAATATTTAGAATTTAGTTTATAAATTACCTGGCGAGTTCGGCGTTCTGATAATTAAGTCAGGATTTTTTTATTTTTCTGAGTGGTATATACTTTAAATTTGAATCACTCGGTAATTGTTTTGTTTTCAACCTTTACTGGGTAAAAAAAATCCAAATCTGTTGATCAGAAACTTGTTTTGTTGACTTTTGTATCAAGATACATAACTCTGCTTGCCACATTATTTAAACTGTTTTGAATAGAAAACATCTTATTATCTTAATAAGATGACAATTAAAACTATCCTAAACTGACGTAAAATTATTATTTGCATGGTCTTCATCAAAAATTAATATGGAGATGTAATTTTTCAAACTTGTTTAAATTCAGTATTCATGTGGGTTTACTTGTCATCAGTAAACTATTTGGACTCCTGATTAATTATGTCACAAGTTTAGACTAATAAGAAACTTATATGTAATTCGGAATTGTACCACAAGTAGAAATTACCTTTTGTAAAATATTTGGGTATACGTTCGATAAAAAGTGATCAACACAACCTCAGGCTGCTGAATACACTTGGGAGATTTTTTAATTTATTCCATTTCAGGATATCAGTAAACCAGTTTGTTATCTTAAAGTAGTGAAGAGGAAATGACTTTGTATCAAGCCTTTTGTAATTAGTTAATGAATATTGATCGCTATATGAAGCATTAAGTCTAATTGGAATAGTCAGTCACACAGTAGGTTAATCAAAATTTGCCAAGTGAGAAGGACCACGTCGTGTCAACCATAAGTCTCCTAAAAGACAAGTGTATGTCATTGGCCACTAATTAACTTCGTTTTCTGAGTTTTTACACATATATATATTTCGGATGGTAAAGTATTTGATCAGGGGATAATTATTTTATTACTCATTCCAACAAATTTTCAAACATACAGCGAAAGCATCTGAAGTTAACCGGTAACGACTACTTTATCAACGTTCAATAAGAATTCTGCACTTTTTGATCTACAGTTCAATTCTAAAGTGCAAAGTTACAAAATGAAGTTTTACATGTAGTACGGAGAACGTTTCATTTTATTTCCCACATTAATGATTTGAAGTAATTACATTTTATAGCTGTTCTGTAGTTCAATACTACATAGGTGATTTCCAAATTATTTATTATATTTGGTTCAAAAGTTTTTGAAAGATTTGCTGAAACTAGAAATACTTCTTTTACATTATTTACTTTCATTAAAACAAATAACATGGTCTCAACAATAACATTTGTTGATTGTTTTACAGATAGTATGTCAAAATAAAGGAACTTGCATATCCAGTGGTGACGGTAAACAGTTTTTTTGTCTATGTGAATATGGCTGGAGTGGCAATATTGTACAGAACCTGAAATTAGACAATGGTATGTATGAACGACAATAGTTAAAACTAATATATGTCATAAGAAATTCGGGTCATATGACGTATGAGATTTATTTCAGTTGTTGTTTTTTAAATACTTGATTTATGATTGAGTCTATTAACTTCATTTAAATTAATACCGTCATAATATTAAAAGAAAGGAATTTCAATGGCATACTTTATTTGTGATAGTGTATGTCAATTAACTACGTTTCAAATCATTAAAATAATAGATGAAATAACTTATTATTTAAATAGGGTTTACATTTTCGGATAAGTAAAGAAATATGATCCAATGGATCTAATAATTATAAATAATAAATAATACGTATGTTTTAAGCTTAAAAGGAAAACAGTTGAAACATTTCACTGATTTTGACTAATAGCATCAATAGTAAAAGCAGTTCCTGATGGATCTATCGGGTTACAGAAAACGAAGCTAAGTCTTGAAGTCAGTCAAATCCATCGAACGATATACTAATTCGTATTTATTATCACACTTCAGGCTTCCTTGGAGCCCGTGGTCAGAATGTTCAGCTACGTTTTATGGAAACTATGGATGGAAACGTCGTACCAGAGAGTGTCGTTTACTTGGTAATGAAAGTATCTATTCAGGAAAGTGTTCAGGAAATAAAATGGAGCTCCGGATATGCACAGAACGGTAAATTTATTTATGAATACAGTTTCATTTAGGTTTTCTCAAATTACTCTTCACCTTTATTACCATGATAAGTAGATCATTCACTGAGTAAATTAGTGGTAACATTCTTATCGATGGTATTTTTTGCTAATGTACACAAATAAACTTTGCCCAGTTATAAATTTAAACTTACGCACTAAAAGAAACTTGAGAATACCACTTGATTTAAGAAGTAGAGTTTTTAGTGACCCTTCATCTTGACGTCAATTAGATCAGACAATGTTATCGGCGAGTTCACCACTTTAGTGGTTATATCGTATGAGTAATTGTTGTCAAATATACATGTCGACTATCCACGCATATAATTATCGACTTAAATCGCATTAGTGAATAACGGAATTAAAATAAGTCAAATACGAGAATAGGTTTCGAATACATATGTTTTGTACAATCATTGATCCAGGCAGACGATCAAGGGAACAAAGCGAAACGAAACGATGCACGGTGGCGAAGGTTTGTGAGCCAACACAATTTAATTAAGCGTAAATCAATATTTATAGTTAGACAAAAATAACCTACAGACATGTGATGAATAGGATAACATATACACACACATACGCTCATATAAAAACAGTCAAGGTTGTTAAGTGAATAATTCAAAATGAAGAATATTAGGGAGAACAACTGATTTCAATAACTTCATCATCAGGCTCTACAGTTATAAGTCCATAATTATAATATTTTACAAAGCGAATAATTACCAAGGTCAAAATTTGACTCAAGAAAAATCGATAAATTTGTCTGTCCAGAACCTAGAATAAGTTATATGAGGTAAACAAAGCAACCGACACATTAAGTTCATTATTTTAAACAAAATACATACTAAGACAACATTTGACTATACTTGTGCTAGTAACTTTTACATCTCTTGAATATTGCTTTGAATAAGGATTTCATTTCACCTTAGCTAGGCTTCGATACCTATATGAAATGTTCGATGATTACTGAGTTGCAGTGAACTTTAGTTACATCTACATAAGTACGTCATGAGATAACAAAATAAATGTGTACTCACCTATGACGAGTAATGGATTGAAACAATTTTCAGTAATGCAAAAATATTAATGAATTAGAATTAAATAAATTAGTCTGTCAAGAAAATTGTCCAACTAAATAAACACCGGATTTCTTAAATGACTTTCATTTCATTCTCAATCATAGTGATTTTCATATCACGTCAGTTTCTGTACTAAATTGCTTATTATTTATTATACTGTCATCAGTAAACTACATAAATTGACAAGATTAGTTTGTATATCGTCGTACAGCTTGAGTAGGATGTAAGGAAACGTCAAAAGTGAACGCTGTTGTAACTTGATGTAGTATAGATGGAATGAGGCGAGAAGCGCAATCCAGGATGTGTGTTTCGTTTTATCCGGGACTTGTCAAATAGATTTATCTTCATGCCAGAGTTGTCTTTTCCGAGACTCAAATCTACTATCGTTTGCTACGAACGCCATAGCATTATCTGCTTAGCTCCTGAGCTCAGATAGCTACTCACTAGTGCCACTAGTATGAGATTCAATTCAATTTGAACTGGTTTCAGTTATCCCGTTGTTGATATTTTGACTAAAATTTGACCAGTCTTGACTGGGATTAGTGTTAATGGATGACGCGATGATGCTTGAAGCAAACGGTAATGGGCCTGAACCCCAGAAAAGATATAAGCTCTGGTATGCACGTAAATCTAGCTAATGAGTCTCGAATACGACGAAATGCGCGTCCTTAATTACACTGGTGACCATATTCCAATAATTTTATGTCAGCTTTTGTCATAATGTCTATAACGAGGAAATCCAAGCAGGATGCATATATGACAAGCAAAACTGGTCGAATTTCACTTACAAATATCAACAACGAGTTAATTTGAGCCACTTTAACTTGAATCAAAGTTGTTATTAGTGCTTCATGATCGTAAACCTGACATTAATTTTCTGGTCAACTTGATTACGAACACATTTAATGGAAAATGATGATGAAATATAGTTTGACCAAGTTAATGATTGAAATGTATTTCGAATAAAAGGCCATGACAAAGTAAACATTTTTTTCCCAAAGCTACTGAAAACATGCAATGAAAAGTTTTTGCTTTGAAATAACATTTGACTTCACCGTGTGGAAGAGAAAATCGTTTAGGACAAACCAAAATACCGGGACGTGACTTTAAATATTATTTGCGGTTTATGTTGATGAAATGTGAAGAAACGAATTATTAATACATTACACTAAATGTTTAAACAGACGATCAAAACAAAGCTGTTTAAATAACCATTCATTGCTTTATCAATAAACCTTTTTAAAAAAACTTCTACGGGTATGTTAATAGTTCACCTCAATAACACATGAATCTCGCTAACATTAATGTAACTTAAGGATCTACCGGAGATAAAGTTTATTCATTTCGATGTATTGATGCATGATTGTATTTCAGAATAGTTTTAAACAACTTCCTGTGTATGTTAATCATTAGGCGATAAATTATTGTAACGGAAAACATTGTCAAATTTAAATGAAACAATTGTAGTGGTTGATAGATTCGTTTCATATTTTAAGATGAAAAATATAGTCTTAGAAATGTATGTCAAATTTAATTATGACAAAAGAATTTGTCAAGAGTTAAGAAAAGTCATTACCGTCTTCGGACGAATGTGAAAGACAGATTAAAAATATTTTAAGACTATGTATATCCAGTTTTAAATATTCACAAGTTAAATGGACAGCTATTAAATAAAACATGACGTGAATACAAGTCCAAGTACACAAAGTTAATGAATGACCACCAACATTATTATTAAATGTGGAGCTACAATTATATTACCTTAGTAATTGCATTCAATCGATAAAATTGATGGTATAACGCTGTTGATTGAAATCAGATGATAATACCTGTAATACAAATTTAAGCCAAATTTCACAGGTTGAAATCATGAGTCAATTGAAGCTAGACCACCATGGAAAACCTAGAAGCACTGGACAGCCGTTTTGTCCTAGCATGGGACTCCTCAGCAGTGCGCATCCACGATCCAGCACCCCGCGGGATTCGAACCCATGACCTACTGGCTTCGCGCGCGAGCACTTAACCACTAGACCACCGAGCCGGCATCCTGAATTCGAATCTCGAGGGGTGCGGGATCGTGGATGCGCACTGCTGAGGAGTCCCATACTAGGACGAAACGGCCGTCCAGTGCTTCTAGGTTTCCATGGTGGTCTAGCTTCAATCGACTCATGATTTCAACTTGTGAAATTTCTAAAACTCTCCACAAAGCCCATTCTGTTAAACCAAATTATGTTCATTTTTGTATTCTAGAGAAAAAGTAGATATAATGGTTTGTGAAAAGTTCCTATTGCAAATCAAAGTATAAGTCATCACCAATTTTGTCTCCTATACTTACTTTTTTCTCCTTCATTGTTAATTTTTATCGTTTCCGTTTTAACATGCCTACCCACCAAGTACACTACAGATACCAAACTTTGTAAAATAAACTAAATTTTTCTTGAAAATGGTAGCTTGTAGTTTATATATACTAGAAGTAGATTCCTTTTTCATTTTTATTTGCACTGTTCTGATTTCTGTCTAGCAATGAAAATAAGTACCGTCGGTTGACAGATTTATTTAAGCCACATAGTTGATTACACTCACTACATCTGACTTCTGGAGAAAGCCAGTCGTGTAGAGAAAAAACATAAACAAGTATATAATCTATATGTACAGTATACAACTTACTTTTAGTAATAAGTGTTTTCTCATAGTTTTGTTATTAAAAATTAAACTGACTAAAGTAATCGATTACTAGTATGCTACTAGATCTCAACTGTAGTCTCATAAGTTAGTTGAGATCAGTAGTGAGTAGACCATTGACTCGATTTATAAATAATGTGTAACATCGGAATAACTTTCAAAAGACTACCAGATCTTTGTAGTTGATTTAGATGAACGTTAAGTATCATTTTATGACATAATTCAAACACCTAACTGTGCATTATATAAATATTTCATTTGATATCATAAGGTTAATAATTATATTGTACTCCTGGAGATTATTTCTTCTTGAAAGTTTATGGTATGGTTCCAGATGACAGGTGAGACTTAAGGCTGTTGACAAAAAAATCAGGTCGAACTTGAGTCATGTGACTCATAAGCCTTAAGTGGTTTAACTTAGAATAATTATTTCTTTTGTGTTTCGAAAGACTTGCTGCTTTACCTTTAATGACAGATTATAAAAATATGTACAAATATTAACTTAATCAAATTCGTAAATTCTTCGAGATGCATGGCTTTTTGATTAGCGTTTCAACTGATACTTAATTTTCTTAATTTACACATTCCCATGACAATAAACCTCATTGATTTTTTGTATCATAAAGGTGAGGTGAGACTATAATTTATAGGCGACCTATGAACGAATCCTAAGTGGCTTTGAGAAATTCCAGCCAGTCATAAAGTAGTTGGTATGGTGTAAGGATATACTATAAAAAACCAGAACATTAAAGTGGATACACTTTTTTAACATGGGTTAAAAACTTTTCAAGGTTAGAAAGAGGCTCTACAGGTCTGAAATCATAATGCATACGATACAAGAAAGCATGCATATGACTCTAAAATAATCGACCTCTAGAGCCAAGAAACGGTCGCAAAAGTTCTTTAGGCCTCGACCACATTACTTCTATATTATTTGTGTACACTCCGCTGGTGGGATCTATATAATGCCACTTATGGATGACGATAGGACGTACATAACCATGTCTCTATAAGCATCGTTAAGCTGTCCAGTCATCTGTGTATATGGTGGTTTTCGGCTGCATATATTCTCGTATAATTAGTATTATAGTCGTGACTTGCCGATTTCTAACACGTTGAAAGTGTTCTTTTTGAGATGATCCATCGTATATTCCAAGGTCCTGTGGAGTATATTTATGGGATCGCTACTTACCCAGTGTTCTTTAACACGTCGTCCTCCATCGAATTTTCGTTTCCTAACAGACGTTTTGTCTATTTCTACGATTCTCTTGATTCCTCCAAACGAATCACACAAGGGTGTTATTTTTATTGCACATATATCTCTGTAATACTCATACCAGTGAACTGCCGAAGCTTCAGTAACACCTGAAAAGGTTTCAGCCAGTGTTACTTATGTTATTATTATTCAGTTTGCAACAATTATTATAATTTGTCCAAGTCTCAATCGGCATCAAGCGAAAAAAGTTTCCGTTTTAGCATATATATATATATATATATATATATATATATATATATATATATATATATATATATATACAACATCGCAATAGTCTGCGCAAGGTCCATGAGTCATTTGATTGCCGCAATTACAAATAAAGAAACCTCTTAATAACCTCTTCAGAGACTATAACCTCACCGAACGTGCTCGTTTATATTAATAATTCATGACCGTGGCGTGGACGCTTTTAAAAAATATTGTTGTAATGGAATACTTTATGAATTTTCAAAACCTCATTCTACTTGTAAAGTTATTGTGTATATGGAAGACTTAAAGTGAACAGACAAAAATGTCCAAATATTATACCATAGGGTTAATCACTGCTGAATTAAATACTGCATAATTTCGAACAACACATCATTTTAATAAATTTAAATAATCTAATGGGAAGATAGTTTTCGTCTTCTCTTTGTGATGGATTATTCATTTAAAATTTATTTATGACTATTGAAAGTGGTAAAGTGTACCAATTACTTCTTATTTAGATGACAGTTCTTAGCATAAAATGATAATGTGATAGGTAATTTAAAAATATCAGTACAGATTCCTTACTCAAATTTTTATCTCCCTAAAGAGTATGTTCATGAATTTCACTGGCTTAAAACATTTACGTCTTTCCGAAACAACACAAAGGGAAATCCCCATCATCAGTAATGATTGTTATCACTACCAAGTGATTAATCCTTATCAGACACAAAATCACGCTATTACGTCTGTAATAAATGGCAAATCTAATAAATAGTGAGCATACTATTAGTTGACATCTGGTTGAATTTTGATGTTTAGCTTGGTTTTATCAACGCTTGTAAATAAAAAAATTAATCTATTCCAAGCATTAGTTGTAAATTTATCCCTTAATACATTTAGATAAAGCAAGACCAAGACTTGTTGAATTAAATGAATGGATTCTATTTTGAGGCTTGTCATCGGCTGCGAACAGCTTAAAGTTGCATAAAGTTATATAATTAAAAATTAAGGTTTGACATACTTTAACTAGTGAAGTTGAAATTTGTGATTGAATCGTAACCAGAAAAGGTGTAAAATAGCTCAAGATACAGTGATAAGTAAGATTAAAATTCAGAATTACTTTTCTCTTGAGAAAACATGAAAATAACTGATCATCTGAAGTATGTGTTTTTATGTCAAACACCTTTATACAGTGAACATAAGTTTTGTATGTTATATCACCATTATCTGTAGATTTATTTATTCAACCATTATTATTTTTACCACCCTAAATCAATATCGCGAAACTCAAATAAATGAATGATTTATTGAATGTCAGAAAAGTCTATAGAATAGATTATGATAACTTAATAAAGTCTATGAGAATGGATTGATTGTAATAAATTACCTCAGTGCTAAGAAAACTTGAACCTCCCAGATCGCACGACGTATTCCAAACATAAGTAAATAACTGAGTTAAATAAGCTCAACTATAAGTAGGATATGGTAATAAGCGGAATATTTAGTACAATCAAAGGAGGTCATAATAATGTTATGCCATTCAAATCGTGGTTATGATCCTAGATGGGTGGATAGTTAAACTTTATATTCTATTGCGTACAGTAGCAGTTTGTGAAAAACATCCAGCATCCACCATTTTTTTTAGCTGGAAAGTCTATTTTTCAGTTATTTTACTCTTTGTAATATATGTTTGGTTGTATAAGAACTTTCGTGTAAATCTGATCGAATACTTTCACAGAATTTGGGCGCCGAGTTAATGTGAGACATTAAAGAGGAAGAATGTATTTGTAAAATCTCAGCTAATGAATTTGAAGTAAATCCGATGCTTCGTCTGGCAATCTGTTTCAAGCATTTTTAAGCAAATATAATCGTGAATCAAAATTATCGAATATAAATAGGTACATGGTTCTTCGGCTCACTGTATACTGAATAGGTCATCCAACGAACGTCAATAATTCACTTGGTGTTGTTTTACCCGTTGTTATTAAAGACTGCAATTGATCAGTCTCATGTTGGCATATGTGCATCCTGTGTGGATGCCTCGATATAGCCTTAAGTCACAAGCTTTTTAAGCAAAGATGGAGTGAACATCAACTCTACGTTGCAGTTACATCCAGCTGACGAGTTCCAAGTATGACGAATCGCGCTTCCTGGATTCCTTTGCCAGCCATCTTTGCTTTAAAGGTTCAACAAAACCTTAATATATATGAAATTATCAATTCAAATCTTAGTAATGATATTTTCAGAATGGATTGATGTTTTGTCTGGTCATATCAAACTACTAATGTGAATATTTTGACTGTCACGAAGATTAACACAATGAAGTTTGGAAAAGTTAACAAGAAATAAGTGAAAAACCAAACATATAATAAGATTAGAAAATCATTGTTTTATCCAAATATCAAACATGAATTTTTAAATAATCAGTCATCACATATATATGTAGTGAATAAATAAAAATTTAAAAAATCACTTACTTCATTACGTCTTGTTTATTAAGTTAAAGACTGCGCACGATGTTTAATTCACTTGATATTGTTTGTTTGAATCTTCCCATTGACGTTTAGGACTGTGATTGATCAGTCCCAGAGTGAACATCAACTCTGAGGTGCAGGGTCATCCAGCTGGCGAGCCCCAACTGGATTCCTCTGCTAGGCGCTATCCATCTATGCATATGCAGAATGTGTTTAATTTATAAGACACAAATAGAAATAAAGCAATATTCAAATACTACTCAAAAATGTATAACTTCAATTCCTGTCTTCTGTGGAAAACATTTCATTAGTATTAGATTCATATCCATAAATTGTCTCTCGACTTATGCATTCTGTTCCGTTCTTTATATTAGTGAAATTAACATTTATTATTCTTTTTAAACGTATTACTTTTTTGACACTTCTGGGGATTTAATGTAATTCATTACGGAGTCCGGGTATGCAGAATCTTAAATAGCCAAGAAATCCCTTAAAGTATGTTTGTTGTAAGTAATGAGTATATCAAAGTGTAGTTTAAAAAACTTTCTACTTTGTTACAAATAAGTTCGATGTGAAATAATTCGTAAGTAAGGAAAAAAGAAATAATTTAGTTTCGGTCGTTGTATGATATCCGATGCTTTTTGACTTTGAATTAGTTATCGATTTGACAGTAGCAATTGACCATGAAGAGCTTCCAATCAACTCATCTTCGGGAAACAGTTATGTAAATATTGTTTATATGCATACTGCAGACTAAGCCATAAATGGATTTTTAAAATCCCAGAAATGATATTGAGTGAAAGCAGCAGTTTGAATTGTTGAAATTTGATTCAGCATTCTAAAGACATTATTAGTGTAAACTGTATTCTTTACAGATTGATCTCGGTCAGGCTAATTTTTAAGATCGAATAGCATGGGATAGCTGGTTCATCATAACAGGGAACTCCCAAATGTGCACATCCACTCCCCCACCAGTGATCACACTGCAGTGGCTTGGTTTCAAGATAACTCTGTGGGCTTCATTTATCAATCACCCTGATAACCCTTAATAATTAGACCACAACGGTGTATAGATTCAGAAAGCAACACGAAGCTCCGACTATAGTTCAGAAAGGCTGATACGAGCGAGCAAGCGAGTACAAAGGCGAACTCAGAGTCGAATCAATTAATTAGATTCAAGCACTCAGATATATGTATGAAAAAGAGAATGATTAATCAAGCGATATTTAAGGAACTAACATTTAAGCTGGACAGATATATGCGTGATGTGTGTGTGATCAGGCAAACAAGTTTTGATACAGACATGAAGAAGAAATTGATAAATTGTTACTGTTCGAATGACCCTGTCTGTTAAATAATTTAATAGAAAGGGCTCAACAAAAGTAACCGTTAACAAACGTAATTGTAGGAGAGGTACTACCACACATAGCTCCTTTAAACTTCTCTGTGGCCCTTTAGCTAGAATGTTTGCATCTGCAACAACTGAGCAAATATGACTAAAATTAATTTTGAAAATGGTTTGACGATCATCCAATCCTATCGGTGACAGCTGTTTCACTCCTGAAATATCTGAACCCTGTCAATCAAGACTTATCACAAGTACTACAGAAACCTCTTAAAGTTTGTCTGTTATTGTCTATTGTTGTCTATTATGACTATCACTGCCTAGTTTAAAATTAAACTTACCATGAATGTATTGAATGATCAAAGTGTCCTTCGTTCGTGTCTAAATTGATCATGGCTGTTCAGTGTTTAAAATTTTAAAACTAACTTGAAACAAATTGTCAATTCTCCCTGAGTTTCAATAACTCGTTACAAAACTACCTTGGTGTTGAAGCCCTTTTGGGAAAAATCTTGAAAGTGTCTAATTATTTCAAATTGATTAATATTAAATGTTCAGTTTAATTTTTATAAGCATTACGAATAGGATTTATCTGATTAGTTATGTATATTTCATTATTTATTTTAGTTTTCCGGATTTCACAAAAGAATATCTACCAATTATAGAAATGCTTTTGATGTTTTTGTGTTACCTCATCACTTTACATTTATCTGCTGACATTATTTATTTTCTGCTTCAGTCAGAACGTGATTAAATGATAACACTATGAACAGTCCCAAATTCTATATTGTCATTATTTATTTAGCACAAATGATATTTGGCATTTTGTAGACATTATTAGTTAATGTTCTATTTCAAGTTATTTCTTTATATGGAATATTTCTATTAATTAGTGTTGTTGTAAAATATTTGTTTTAGTTGTCATACATTACGTCACCATGTCCAGAAGTAACTACAATGATGGGAACCAAAACTATCGAAATAATTGCACTACTAGTAACAAAAGCAAGTAAAAAGCTTTTCTTGAAATATAACTATTAAAATATAGAAATAGAGACTATTAAAACGAATTGCGAATGTAGTTAAACGCTTCTTCCTGAACAATAATAGTCCAAAAATGATGTGAATAGGTTTAACAACAAGTAAGATTCAAGAAAATATAAAAATAGATATGCCCTTAGTATGCTTGGATTGATTGGCCGTAAAATTCAGGAATAGCATTTCATAATTTTTTAACATGTTGTCGTCTGAATGCTAATGGTTACGAGAATTGATGTTCATTACTAAAACTCAAATTCAATACCTATCTTTTAATATGTCAAAATATTAAGTACTGAGCTACTAAGATCAGATTTACACTAGCCTGTTCAGGCATAAGTTGTTTGAAGGGTTTAAACCTTCCTCGTTCTTATAAACTCTAACCACCACTTGAGTATATTAAAACTAAAAACAATGTCGAGGTATGCTGTTACGAACTCACAATTACTTATAAAGACCGACCGATTGCTGCCCTTAACATCAACAACGGATAAATTAAACCTCATACTTACATAGAGTACATAACTTAACCTACAAAAAGAATAAATCCCAAGTGTATATTATGTGCTTTTTGTTATGATGATTCTTACAATATAAAAAAAAGCAAATATACAGTTGTCTATATTCTACGTACGCAGACATAGTCTGAACGATATCTGTAAATTTAAATTTTTGAGAAATTTATAAAATCACTGATGTGCGAAAATAATTTTAACCATGAAATCCATGTTTATTATTATCGGATCTCCTATGAAGTATTTTTAAATAATCCAGTCGTATTTCAATATGTAGAAAGTGAAAATTGAAGACTTCCAGTAAAAAAAGGAAATCCCTACATGTTGTCATCAAAATGTGAATAAAATCATAACTCAATAAATTCTAAGTTCTGCTCGAATAGTCTTATATTAACTAACGTTGTATCACTAAAAAGAAGAAAGAATCCATAGTTGCGAAATACGATTGATTTTTTACACAAAAAGTACACCTCAAATAATCTAGCTTCATCTGACGAGCACTTTTGAAATAATTTACCGTGAGAACTTAAGACAGGTGATTGTAATTATTTGTAGATATAGTAATTAAAATATCAAAAGTTTTATCTCATTACTGACAATTGGTGATCTGAACATAGTCAGTCTGTCTTGTTTATTCCATGCACTTAGGAAACTGTCAACATCTTACATTTAATCAACTTATTTTTGTTTCCAATCTATCTCCCGCTAGACCTATTTTGTATCCGATTTAGCTTACTAGGTTTTATAACAGTTTTTCAGTCCTGGCAATTCTCATCCAATTTCTTCGATACTGTAGATAAATCTTACAAGACATTACGTAAACGTGTCTTGTTATGAATGCAGATTTCTTAAGCGAACGGGGTTCATAATTGTTATAAATAATGCTGTTATATAGTTTACATAGGCTTTTATTGTATTTTTAACAACCTCTCATTCTTCCTTGGCCCTAATTTCCTCTTGTAGTCTGTTTTGGTTTTTTTAATTATGATTTTTTAAATCAGTGTTTCGTAATTTTAAACCCTAATCAGTTATTATAATCCTCTGACAATTTTCTATGATTGTGATCCAATTATTATTATGACCTTTATGTTTTTTTCTTTTTCTTCATATTTATCAAGTGGACAATTATCTTTTATAATTCTGACCCGTAAATTGTTTTCATCCTCATATTATTCTCTTAATTCTTGATTACTGCGTAACCTCGTTTGATAATAAGAGTCTCGAATCAATATATTTTCATCAGTGTGGGGTTGTGGAGATTGTTAAGTTTTGATTGACATCATTAACCGATGAGTGTTAGACCACCATTGATAACATGAAAGCACTGGACGGCCGTTTTGTTCTAGTATGGAACCCCTCAGCAGTACATATCCACGATCCAGCACGCATGATTCAAAGCCAAGATCTTAATCGATGTGACCCAAGGCAGACGATTATCTTTAGTACATCCGCGAATAATAGACCGGCTTGAGAAAATTATAAGAAGGTTAGTTGAATAAAATGTTTTATTCAGGGATTTTGAAATCCGTTTATTCAGGAGTTCGACAATCCTATCTCTTTTTAATTCGATACTCATATGGAGTTTCCTTTTGAATTGTCAATGCTTCTCCAGGATTTTGTTTTGGTATTAAGTTCCTATCAACAAACCTAGGTGGATAACCATTTCGGATGAGTATCTGTCAAAGTTGAAGTAGCTCGTCATCTACTGTGTCATTAGAACATATTCGCTAAATCCTTGAGGATAAAGAGTGTATCATGTTTCTTTTTCTACTCGATGCTATTCAGTCAGATCTCAGCTGTTGATAATTCTGACTTATACTTTATTCATCTATTATTTCGGAACCATCTACAGAATAAGGATTCATTTGAATGTCATCAGAATGAAAATTGGAACCACCCACTTCATCAATTCCTCAATTTGTCTATATGTCTGCTTAGAAATTAATGGTCAGTTAAATCAAAAAACTATACTATCCGCCTACTATTTCACTGAAATATGATTGCCTCAGATGGCTCATGGTCATTTCCTCAGCAAAAGAGCACTTCTAATGATCTTTTCACTGAATAATTTTAAGTATTAGAGGTTTGAAGTGCTAAGCTGGACTTCTGTGAGTTTCGCATTGCGACATCTAGGAAATAAATTATAGGTGATTTTTTTTAGTTCTTTCAGATTAATGTGACTCACTGAAGTGAATGAAGATGACGGTATACAAGTTTTAAGGCCGTTTGTTCATGTTTTGTTTTCTGTAAAATGGGTTCAATTTTTATTTAATAATACACTGAATAGGCCTTCACGACTAAATATTCTTATCATTACCCTTTGAGTACAGTTTCCTCAAGAATGCCACTTCTGGTCATTCGGAGTATGAATCAATAATAACCAAAGTATCACAAGAGTTTAAAAATGGACCACAGAAATCCACCTGAATACATTGACACGACTCATAATATGTAGCCTGAGCATTCCAACTAGTTTCATTATGTTATAGATTAAGAAGACAGGCATAACCGTTTTCCGATTTTCAACTTACATCAGCATCAATCTCAGACTACCAACAAGTCTGACGAGCAAGTTATTTCATTTTCTCTGCTCCCAGATAGGTGGAACGAAGGTCGACTCATAATGCAGATCAGAGTTTAGGGGAATGATCATTTTGTCGTTAAAGCACAAAAACCTTCAGGATGTAATGATATATTTCCTCTCCGTTTGTAAAACTCAGGGGACATAGGTTTACACAGGACATTCCAACCTCGTTTGATCACATTTATGAAAGTTCCAAAATATTTACGAATATCCCTTACAAGTCCTGCTATATCAATAGGTAATGGTTGTACCAACATACAATCACTTTCGTCAGGTCGTCTTTCGAAATATGGATGACATGATGGAAATTTGCATGTGTAATTTTAGCCACTAGGTGCTCAACCCTAAATTTCGTCTCTGGATAGCGAAAGCAGATGACCAATGAAGTGACTTATTTGGATGATAAATAAAGTCTAACACCTGGTGGTCAGTTACGGTGTGGAGTTTTACATCAGGCAAGTATTTATGCATTATAGTTGATGGCTATATTGCAGCTACAGCCGCCTTTTTGATATGAGAATAACCTTCTTCACCCTTGCTTGATCATCTCGAAAGAAAAGTTATAGGTTTCCCATTCTGCTCTAGAACAACACTTTTTGGCCCTTATTCTGAGTTCAGTTAGATCAGACAAATGATCATTATCGAATGATTGCTATCGAGATATATATGTCGCCTATCCTCTTATATTCACCTAATCCGTGTTAGTGAATAAAGGAATTAAATAAGCCAAAGACGACAATGGATTTCCAATATGTATATTTTATGTACTTATTAGTTTGAACAGGCGAGCAGGGAGATGAAAAAAAGAAGGAATAGTAAAGCATATTGGAGAAGCGAAGTGAAATGACATGAAGTGGAGAAGGCCTGTGAACCAACTCCGTTTAATCAAGCGTTAATCAAGATTTACAGTCAAACAAAAATAAGTTACAGACATGTGATGAACAGGATAAGAAGTGCATACACATACGCTCCTATAAAAACAGTAAAGGTTGATAAGCGAATAATTAATAAGGTCAAAAATGACTCAACAAGAATGGATAAGTTGGCCTGTCCAGAAGCTAGAATAGGGTGTATGCGAATAACATAGTTACTGACATCATAACATAACCGCAGTAGTAAAGATAGGTTATTCAATCGATGAAAACGGTTTGAGGAAAGCCCCACCATTTAAGAACTATAAAGTGTTCAATAATATATCCTCGTGTCGTTGCTCCCAGACAAAGTCTGTGTTAGAAACTAATTCAAAAAGTGGAGATAATAATTTTGGGAAGTTAAGAATAAATCTAGAACGAAATTGAAGAGCACCAATCAATGGTCTAACGGCTGAGATATTCTTAGGTAAATGTGCTTAAATCAATGGGTCTGTAAGACTCACATCAAGTTTAAAACCCTTGGTATCCAAAGTATAGCCTAGACAACTGATAGAGTTAAGTTGATACTGGCACTTGGAAGAATTTGCAACAAAAATAATGTCCCTAAACTTTCAAATTTCTCTAAAAAGCATTAATTATTCAACTTCAAATTTTTAGCATGATCTATGGTATCATCTTGATACGATTCAACATCACAAAGACCAGTAACAATCTGATCAATAAATTTCTGGAATATCACAGCCTACACTTTTGATCTGAGCGCTATAAATTTGCATCTGATTAGCCTGAATGGTATATGAATCGTAGTTAGCCAAATAAAGATTTTATCTAGTGAAATTTGTAAGTATGCATCTTTTATGTCTATTTTAGAAAATTAGTTTGACGCTCGATTTTTATATGGCATGTATAAAGTTTCTTCAGTTGTACA